TTTTTGCAGTGATGAACTTTAATATAAACATTCCATATATTTGTAGTTATTTGGAGGAGTTTTTTCAACTGCGAAAGCATACTTTTTTTCCTTGCCATTTGATTGTTGGTGTGTCTCCAGGATATTGCTTTTATGTTAATCAGACTGCTACAGCGTTGCGACAGTATAACAATTAATCTCTTCTTTGTTCAGTTACGCTTCAGAGTCATCTTCCTTCAGCATCCCGTCTTCTCTCAAAATGGACTTAAATTTTGTTGGTTAATTGGAGCGTGAAGAGCTTTTTTGTAAAGATTATTTTAGGTTAAAATTATTTAAGTGTACATAAATGAATAATTTCTGTTGAATTTATACGATGATTGAAAAATACTGTGCTAGAGTTTCAAGAGAGACATTGCTAGAAGAAATCTATTGATCTTCTGTTATTTCTCAAATTGATCGTAGTTCATTTGATTTATTTTTAGCGTATGAACCTCAAATGAAGTGTTGCTCTAGTAAAAACAATGGGAAAAAATATTTCAACTCACTCAAGCATGAATAATGTAGCTTTACATCATTTGCAGTAGTTTTCTGCTTCAAAAACTTTTTACTTCCATTAGGATTCTTTATGTTATATTTAAAAAAAAAAGGAGAATGATTTTAGCAGCAGCAGGAAGAGGACCTAATACTAGAGGGAGGCTAAGGGTTGAGGATAAAAGCGGCATTCATTACAGCATATTATTCAGTTAGCTTCTTGAGTTTGATTATAGTAGCATTGCTTCCTGCACTTTTTTTTTTCTTGGTAGTATTTTCTTGCGGTTAGTGTTGATAATCGTAAGAGAGAGGAGAAAGGGAAAGTAATTGTGGGGAGGAATTCAGGGTTTAATATGCTGGAAAAAAAAAAAACAAAAGAGCTGGCGTATTGATGGTAGAGGGTTGAAAAGGAAGAAAGAATTGCAGCTCATTTTTGAGTAGATCAGGTTTGACTTGTTTTTATTTATCACGAATGCCACTGTTGTTGTTGTTGTTAGTAGTGTAATGGCAGTAGTGATTTTAGGTGGCTAATATATATTTATATTTATATATTGAACTTGGAGTTGGCCTTGGGTTTGTTTCGGTTCTTCACGGAAAGAAAATTTTGATGCAGAAAAAAAGCAGAATATTTTTTCTTTATATGTGGAAAATGAGGTTAAAATAGCAATTTCTTTCTTTTATTCTTTATTTTTTTTTTTTTTTTGTTACTTGAAAAAGATCTTATTACGATAGCCATTTTTGTTTTTGTTATATTTTTTTGTTTTATTTTTACTTTATTTGTTTTTTTTCTTGAGTACTTTTTTTTTACATATTGATTTCTAATTTCGCTCTTTTTATTTGATTGTTTTTTCGTTGCGTCCGAGAACTCCTACCATATAATGACGATATAAAGCATTAAATCGGCGAGCTTGATAAGAGATTTTTGTTTGTTTGTGTTAGAACTTGAGCAAAAAAAAAAGGCGAGCAATTTTAAGATGCAAAAGATGGAGGGAAGAAAGGAACAGTAAGGCATTGTTAATATTTTTTGATTCATAGAGAATGACTTATTCACTTTATGTGCTCATGTTTTATTTTTTCTTCCCCCTTTTTTCAAATTAAAGTCTAAAATTTATGGGTGGTAATGTAGGGGAAAGCAGAAAAAGATTTCCAATTGCTTGCGTACAGATGTTTTGATTTAGGTTTTTTTTCCCGAAGTATCGTTATTGCATTCTATCTGCTTTACTGCATTAGGTTTTCTTTTTTATTATTGTGACTGCTTCTGGACTTCTGGAATTGATAACTGAAGTTTTATCACTTTACAAAATTTATATGTCATTTCATCTTGTTGAAATATTCTTTTTTAGTAGCAAAAGCCGAGTTTTTTTTCATTCCTTTCACGGTTCATCAGTTGCTGCTGTTGTTATCGTTGGAAACAAAAAAACCATACGTCACAGCTGGCAAACGATAGTCCAAAATTTTACTTGAATATAAAAATTTCTAAAACTATTTTCCAGCTCAAGTTTTATTAAGCTATGTAGATGGTTCGATTATAAAGAATCTAAGTAAAGAAGGGGAATGTTTGATATGATGACGGAATATGCTTAAGTTTTAGACTTTGAATGTTTATCATCATTTTGATCTGTAAACTCTCATTTTTTGTCAATAAAGTTTTTACGCTTTTATTGTGTTACATTTCCTTGTGGAAATTGTCTACCTGTTAGTGAGGTTTGAAATAGAATATATTTCACTAAATTTCTTGGTGTATAGTTAGATTCAAAAAGCAAATAATTTTGTGTGTTAAGGTTTATCGTAGAATTAATTGCTGTTGTTTTAACAGAACTGCAAATGGTAATTGTTAGTTCATTTTATGGTCGTAAAATTGTTTTTGGAATGGTTGGAGGGGGGAAAAGTGGAAAATTTTCACCATTGTTACTTCTAATGTTTGTTCTGCTTTTTTTCTCATCTTTTCGGTATCTGACTTTTTAATTCTTTTTAAAATCTAG